TCACCCACAAGAGAGCTGCGCGCTCCCCAGGAACACTATCCTGCTGACCCCCAGCTGAGCCCAAGCAGCAGCCATGGGTGTGCTTTGGGTGCACTGGAGACCTGTACCTTCCATACCTCCCATCTCCACCTCCACCATACTCTCTTTTCTATAGGAACGGAACAGGGGCCAGGAGCTCAGGAAGCCCCTGTATCATGATGAGTCAGGATCCTCGCCAGCACTCAGCTGACATGTCACCTCTCATGTCACCCACCTAGTGTGATGGGCTCCCACTCAAACAGCAAATAGCTCTTACAGGCTTTGCCATTCTCAATCTGTGCAGGAGTTACCCCAGCATGTGCCACAGTGTGCATGGGTTAACATGGGCAGTTGCAGCTCGCAGTGCTCCAGGGCAGGATAAGGCAGGGATCATGACCTGCTCTGGCTGCGTTTCCTTCCTCCAATTCAAAGCGCACTCCAGGCACTTAATGGCCAGTTTCTTTCCGTTGCAATTCTGGTTAACTCATGAAGTGGCTAATTATAGGCCTGTAGCTGCCATTTGGAGTTGCAAGAGTGCTGGGTTATGCCCAGGCACAGGAGGGAGATAACTCAGCACTGGCAGTGGCACTGGGGCCAGAGGTTTTAGGGCCCCAGCCAGCCCAGGGGAACCCAGGGGAGCCACTACCCATTCATGGACCAGACCCAGAGATTTTGGTGGGGATCAAGCACCAGGGCACCGTGTTTATGGATTCAGTGCAGGGATGGGGCTGATGGCAGCTTCTGTACCCTGTGCCCAGGGACCCAGCACCCTGCACATGGGGAGAGGCCATCCCATCACCCCTCTTGTCCCTGGGCACCAAATCACCCATCCTGTCCACAACATGCTCATCACCACATTGACGCTCTTGTCTGCAGCAGCCTTCATCAACTTTCTCATTCCTGGAGTCGACCCTGTGCTATCACCCCTGCTGTCCCCAGCACACTTTCAGTCCTGTGATCCCTTCTGTTCCCCCTGCCCCTGCCACACTGTCATCCCTGATACACCCCATCATCCCTCTAGTCTCCACCATCCACCACCAACCTCCCTGTCCCCAGTGCCCTGACCACACTGTCACCCACCTGACGCTGTGCCCCCCCGGAAGCACCCGGCAGGGCTAAGCCGATTACCTCCCTTAATACCCCCATGGCCCAGAAGAGACATTTCAGGCAAACATCGATGCACCTTCCCCTGTGCTGTGGGAAAACCTGGGCTCCCTGGGGACTGAGGGATCCCTGTGGTGGGAGACTGGTCTCCAGAGCTGCCAGGAAATCGCAGATCCAAAGGACCTGACCCTGCACAGTGCAAGCAGCAGGCCCCTGGCTCTGGAATCCCAGTCTCCCAACCCTGAGCTCCAGCTCTCCACACACCAGCACCCCCAGGGTATTGCTGGGGTGCACATGGATTTGTGAGTCCCCACAAAGCTACAGCAAAAGGGATGAGAGACTTTCACCCCATCTCTTCCATAAACTCTTCCTTGATGCTGATTCTACAACTGGAATTATCAGACATTTTTCCACCCGTTCCCCCTCCTCAGGCCTGCAGACAGAGCCCTGCCCATGTCCCTGGCATGGGTACTAGCTCCTTGGAGCCTCGTGGGATGCCTGTGCCCATCCCAGCTCCTCCACAGCTCACCCCCACAAGGGCTCTTTTCCCACAGTGGGAGCCAGCTGAGCACATGTAACCCCAGATAACAAGGTGAGGACATTATCTCCAAGAATAAAACCACATGGAAAATTAAACTCAGGAGCAGCACCCCAGCTGCTGCATGGAGAAACAACTGGTCTGCACCAGTGTGGCAGAGGACACCCCACCATGCAGCCATGGGAGGCTTGAAGGGATGGGGCAGCTGAGTGGGACCACTGCCCACCACTGCCACCACTCCGAGGGTGGACCCAGCCAGCCTTTCATGTGCCTCAAGAAAACACTGGGGCTGCTTCCTGCAGACCGACTCACAGGATTTCAGGACTGAGAGACCACTCCCTGCACTCGGCAGGGCAGCCAGGCCCCTGCAAGCACCCCGGGCACAGCACCAGTCCTGCTGTCTTGCTCCCAAGAGCAGCTTGGAGCTGCCACAGCTTCAGGGGTCAGCATGTAGGTCCCTGAGGCCACTGCACCCACTGTGTCCCAACCCTGTGCCCAGTGCAGCGATGGACAAGCAGGCAAGGAGGAAAAGCTGAGAGATGAACAAGCCCACCACAGGCTGAGCCTGGGAACTTCCCAGGGAATGGCTCCTGCCTAGCCATGCCCAGCTGGGAACTTTGAGCACTCCCTGGACCACTGTAGAGCAGGGGCAGCCAGTATGAACACCAGCATCTGTGCTCCCACCCATGTCCCTGCGGACTGGTGCAAGAAGGAGTAGCAGCGCAGAGCCAGCAGGTCAAACGTGGCCAAATGGGTCACTTGGACTGGAAACAACTCAGATTTTGCTGAGCATCTTCTCCAGATGTCTGGGATGTGAAGTGATGGCTGTGGTAGCAAGGTTCAGGATTATTAAAAAATGGGGTTCTAGCCTGCCATCCCATTTGGAAAACACTTTTTTTTTGTTTGCAATAATAACAAGGATAATAACAGATGAAATTCGGCAACCTAGTTACTCAAGCGGGAAGAAATACAGCTTTCACTCATGTTCCATGAAAATGAATCCAGAAAAAGCAGCAAGGCAGGGCCTCTGCCCAAAGCCTGGTGTGATGCATAGAGACATGGGAGAAAGAAGCCCAGCTGAGGAGCAGCAAACAAACCTAAACCACCCTGCACCACCTCCAAAGCACTGCTGCCCTTCATCCAGCTCAGATCAGGCTCACAGCAAGATGAGGATGTTACTGAGCCACGTGCAGCTGCATCCCGGGAGATGGCATCTGCTGCAGGGGCTCTGGGTTGCAGCATCAGCCAAGGAAAGTGAGAAGGAGGAGGAGGAGATGCAAATCCTTGTCTGGATGGAGCTACAGAGGCAGGAGGACATGGGTATGGTGGTGCAGGACCTTCTCCCTGACTCTCTCCTTGCCAGGAGCCAGTTTCATCAGCATACCAGAGAGCAGGAGCTGCTCCAAGGCCTGCCACCTTCAACCTCACAGCCATCCCCAGAGAAAGCCAAGGCTTGGCCCCATCCGCCTAGGAAAGGCAATTATAAAGTGAGAAGAAACAGCCAATGCTTCCTGTGCCCCACTGCACTCAGAGGAAGGTGGTGGGGTCAGGACAGAGACTCCTTTTCCTGCCCAGCATCCCAGGGATATTTCTTCCACCATCTCCAGGAGAAACCTACCTGGAGTTCCCCACTGCCACATGCCACACAACCTCGAACCCCTGGCAATGGGATGCTGCTGTTGGGAACAGTGCAAAGACACCATCCCCAGCTTTTCTCAGGGGAAAGAGGTTGAGCTGAAAATCCAACCCCACGTGTGCCAAGAACGTGCCATATCCCAGCACTGGAACAGGCTGCTGATGCGGTGCCAGGCCACTCACGCTCACCTCACCTCCAGCATCCTTCTCAGGCTAGGAAGGGAAGGGAAAGAGAAACTCTCACCACCCCCTGTGACAGCACCCAGGCACAGCCACCCCAGCAGCCCCTCAAGGAACCCAACCAGCACTGCCAGGCCAGATGATCCCACACTAACCCCTTGAATTCAGGAGGAGTGGAGATTATACTGGATCACTGGTGGCTCATCCGAGCTGCCTGGATCTCCTTCCTCCCATCTCAGCCTGTGTCAGCAGTACCTCTGGCTGGGCCACCCCAGAGAAGGAAGCTTCCCTCTGGCTTGTGGGAAGGGGGGGAGCGCAGGAGCATCCCCGCCACTGCTTCCAACCCTCTGACATGGAAACACACAGACGTTTTGATCCACTGGGAGATTTAAAAATTATTGCAGCTTCCCGCCATCCCACAGAGCAGGCGGGAGCATGGCGAGGCCACCCGGGTCCTGGCTGACAGCAGACTGTCTGTCCGGCGTCCGCCTGCCCGGCGTCTGTCCTGCCAGGAGCCAGAGCAAGGAAACAATATCGGATCCGCAAACAATGCTGGGAGCCTGGAGGCCTCTCCCGGCTCCTGCGCCAGCGAGGCGGAAAGCACCTGCCCGAGACAGGCCGTACCTAGGCAGGGCCATGGCACCTCCCCGAGGGCTTGGGGCTGGCGGGGGTTTTTGGGTCGCTGTTCGTGCCCACGACAGCCCCGTGCTCCCCAGCAGTGGGCACAGAGCAAGGGGACACGGAGCATGTCCAGCGCCAGAAGCCCCAGGAGGGGAGATGCCCTAACCCAGACCCCGAAACTCAAGCAAATCAAACCTGAACACCCCGAAACAACCCTTCAGCAGACAGCAGGGCAGCTTAGGGCGGTGCTCCATGGGTGGAGGCCACTCATTCCTTCTGCCCCGGCGGAGAGCAGAAATGTCACCGTCACTGGTGTAGCAGGGCGATGCTGCGGCTCCTCCCGGGGCAATGAGGCAGATGGACAAACAGGGCTCCCTCCAGCGCAGCCCCGGCGGCTCCCTGAGATGGCTCGGCCACTGCAGCACCTTTATTTTTTTCTTTGTTTCGGTGTTTTTTGATGTTGTTTTATTTTTTTTCCTACCAATAAAGGTGCTTCATGAGGCCCGCTCCCATGACTATGTGCTCCTTCCCCACTCCAGGATCCACATCTGTGGGTCCCTCCAGCCCCCCAGACAGATGCTGGGGACAAGCCCTGCGGCGCTGCCACCCGCCGCCAGGCCCCTGCCTGCAGCAGCGGGCAGGAGAGTGACGAGGAGGCGCTGCCCGTCCCCGGGGAGCGCTGCGGGGTGGGAGAAAGCCCCGCGGGGCTTCGTGGCAGGGGCACCTCCTACCTCGCTTCCACCCAAGAACACGAACACCCACGGATGCTGATCCCTCGTGGGGATGGGCATAATGGGAAAAGAGGGGCAACCGCACAGGGATCGTCGTGGGAGGGGACACGAGCATCCACGGGGGAAGGGTGAGGACACGAACACGGGAGTGCGGGGAACGAGGAGGAACTCACCGGCACGGGCGAGGCGCGGACGGAAGGATCCGAGGGCGGCGAGCAGCAGCAGCGCTCCGCAGCGGGCGGCAGCGCCCCGGGCCGCCACCATCGTCCTCGTCCACGGGCACGGGCACGGGCACGGGAGGGCGCGGGGCCGCGGCGAATGCGGGCGGCAGGGCGGGGCTGGCAGGGAGGCGTGGCCAAGCGGCGGAGGCGTGGCCAAGCGGCGGAGGAGTGGCCAAGCACATGGGCGTGGTCAAACGGTGGGCGGAGCTCTCCGCGTTTGGGCCACACCCCCTCCAGCAAGGCCCGCCCCGCCCGTCCGGCATCACCGGCCGGGGATGCTCCGAGCGCTGCCCCTCGGAGCCCCTCCCAGTGCCTGAGGGGGCTTCAGAGAGCTGGAGAGGGACTTGGGACAGGGGTCTGCAGTGGCAGGACACAGGGAATGGTTTTCCATAGCCAGAGGGCGGGGTGAGATGGGATATTGGCAAGAAATTCTTCCCTGTGAGAGTGGAAAGGCCTTGGCTTTCCACAGGTTGCCCAGAGAAGCTGTGGCTGTGTCATCCCCGGAAAAGTTCAAAACCAAGTTGGACAGGGCTCTGAGCAAGTGGCAGGTGTCTCTGCCCATGAACCATGAATCCAACCCAGAGAAGTTGGACTGTATGATCTTGAAAGGTCCCTTCCAACCCAATGCAGTCTATAATGCTATGCTGGGATCTGGTTATTCCCCCAGTCCCACATGAATGGGAGTGAAGAGCTGGGGAATCTCAGCTGTGGGTCGTGTGGCTGCTGGGGTAATGTTCAGGCTGATGGCAGAAAGTGTCTCATCCTTGCCTGCTCTGCATCTGTGGCACCTGGCTGGGTTTGTCAGACCTCATCCGCAGCCATTGGCTTTGGAGAGAGCTGTGCACTGCCAAACCACCCCCTCCCTTCCCAGTCAGAGCCACATCCCTGGATCACTCCCTTGAAAAACCTCTTTCCATATCCTGGATTAGTCTCACATCTCTAGGGTTTGCTTTCCAACCCCTACATCCCCTTCAGACTACAAATGTCCCGTCTGGCTTCAGAACACTGGGTGCTTGGTGGAGATGTGCCTCCACAGCCACAAACCCCAGAGATGCCACATGAACACCCCAGTCACACCAGTAGCTATGTCCAGTAGGAATGCCAGGTTGTCCCTCTGTGCTGCAGAGCTCCCAGGCTGCCCAAGGTTTTCTCCTGTGGAGTCAAGGGATGCTCTGCAAAATCCTGGCATCCGATCTCTGGCCCCATGCTCTGGGCACAGACCTGAGGCCTTGGCATGCACACAAAAGCCAGTGCTGTATTGGACCTGCTGTCTGGGATCCTGCTGGCCAGCATGTGCTGCCTGATTCTCCGTGTATGGATTCCCATGGCTGTGCAGGGCTGTGTGGCTGGGCTCAGCCCCAGCCGACACGCTCACAGTGGGAGCCCTGTTAAAGTGTCAATGGTGCTCTGGCAGCCTGTCAGCCCAATTTGAGCCTGTCCAAGGAATGCTGAGAGTGAGCTGCTATGGTATGGTGTGACAGGGACATCAGGCCTGGCTCTGGAAGGAATTTCCACCTGCCCGTGGCTCCCCCTGACACCATGACTGAGCAGGAAGGTACCAGGCAGAGGTGGGTGACAGCATGGCATGGGGGCCAGCCATGTCATTTGCTCCCAGCAGAATAGTTACCTCTTACATTTTCTTTATTCTTTAATTTCCTTGGCCCTTTGCTCCTGTGAAATGAACTGTGGGAAAAAAAAATCCCTCTCTGGGATTTTACTTCCCCAAGAAAAAGCTGCTGTCATAGTTTAGGAATGGCACTCTCCAATTTAGTGTTCCCTGCCCAAGACCCTCACAAACCAGATGCTGCTCACTTCCTCTCTCTTTCCCTCCCTCCTTTCCACCACCTCCTCCCTGCTCTAAGAATGGAGTTGAGAACTGGAGGCACAAAAAGGTGGTTTGAGATAAAAACCATTTACTGGAAACAGCACCTCTGTGGGGACCTCAGCACTCCCTAGCATCACACTCAGCCATGGGGCAGGGGTACTCTTTCTTCATCTGGGAGCAAGTGGTGGGTGGGGAGATGGAGGGGGCCACAGGAGCCCCAATCACAGTGGGGCTGAGTTGGATCCTCCAGCACTGATCCATCAGGGACAAGCAGGGCTGGCAGCAAGGTGGGACCTGATCTCCTTGGAGAGGCAGAGAGGGACCCACTAAAGCCCAAAGTGCTCACTTCATGGGGCAAATACAGGAAGTGTTTGGGTTCCTAAATCCATTTGTCATCACAGAAAACTTTTCCCTTTACCTGTTCTAACTATAATTCCATGTTCACAGAGTCTTTGAGTTGATTTGATGAGGCAGAGATGGAAAACTACATGGCCGGTCCACTGGAAAGATATCACACAGACACACCCAGCACAAGAACCCTGGGGAAGCCACCCACCCCCAGCTCCCTCCCCATACCCTGTGACCTCTCCATGACCAAGGGCATACCAAAGAGCTGCTATCCCCAGGACAGCGCCACAGTCTGGGTACCAGAAAACCAGGTTGGGTTCTCTGGCACCAGCTGCCTTACTGGAAGTTGGAGGGTGCAGAGGGATGAGGCACAGCAGACTGTGTGTCCCCCCACAGCAAAACCCCCCAGCCCATGAGCCAGGGCAGGAGAAAATGTCAGAGGTGCTGTGTGAGTGGGATGCAAGTGGCATCTTCATTTCATTCTCTGGTAACTGTGGGGCTTTGCAATTACGTGTGCTGATCTGATAGTCATTAGGGAATGATCAGCCAGTCATTGACAGGGGCTGTTTGCCTTTCTGCTAATTAAATTGCATTTGATTTGCAATCAAATCTAATGAGTCAAGTGAGCTTGAGGTAGGCTCAAGTGAAGCACAAGCCAACTCCACAGCCTTGCTGTGCACAAAGAGCCACATCCCAGGGACACTGCCAGGAACCACCCTGTGGCACAGGGCAGTGAGGGACGTGTCTGCAGGTGAGCAGTGCTGTGTATGTGGCAGGGGCACAGCTTCTGCCATGGAGCTGTGGACTTTGAGACATACACCACTGGAAACCAGTGGTTTTCTGACCACTGTATTGGCTTGGCATGGCCAGGCTTTGGTGGGGGGCTATAGGGGTGGCTTCTGTAAGAAGCTGCGAGAAGCTTCCACCATGTCCAGCAGAGCCAATCCCCGGTGGCTCCAAAGATGGGCATGCCACTGGCCAAAGCTAGGCCAGTTAGGAGTGGTGGTTATGCCTCTGAGATTACATATTTAAGAAGAAACAAAAGAGGTTTTTGTGCAGTTGTAATTGTGGCCAAATAAAAGCAGGGTGAGAATATGTGAGAGGAAAGCTCTGCAGACACCAAGGTCAGTGGAGAAGGAGGGGAAGAAGCTGTTCCAGGTGTTGGAGCCGAGATTCCCCTGAGCCTGTAGTGAAAACAGTGGTGCCCCTGCAACCCAAGGATGGCACAGGAGTGCAGAGATCCACCTGCAGCTCCTGGAGGAGCCTATGCTGGAGCACGGAGATGCCTGAGGGGAGGATGTGACCCCTCTTCCATGTGGGAAGCCCATGGTGGAGCAGGATTCCTGGCAGGGACTTGCAGACCTGTGGAGAGAGGAGCCCACACTGGGGCAGATTTGCTGGTAGGAGCTGTGACCCCATGGGGGACACATGCTGGAGCAGCCTGTCTTTGAAGGACTGACCCCATGGAAAAGTGACTCACATTGCAGCAGTTTGGCTAGGGCTGTTGCTTGTGAGCTGGACTCACAATTGAGAAGTTCACGGAGAACTATTGCCCATGGGAGGGACTCTGCTGGAGCAGGGGAATGACTTCTGTCCCTGAGCAGTGTCCCATTCCTGTCTCCCTGCACCACTGCGGGGACAGAGCTAGAACTGGTAAGGAGGGAGGGATGGGGGGAAGGTGTTTTTAAGGTCTTATTTTACTTTTCATTATCCTGCTCTGATTTTGTTAGTAATAAATTTAATTAATATTCCTAATTAGAGCCTGTTTTGCCTATGACAGTATTTGATGAGTGATCTCTCCCAGTCCTTATCTTAATTCACAAATCCTTTGTTATATTTTCTCTCCCCTGTCCAGCTGCAGAGGGGAGAGCTAGAGAGGCTTTGGTGGGTGCCTGAAGTCACCCCACTACAGCCAGACACCCTGTGCTGCCATGGAGTGCTCCTCTGGCTGCCAGGCCAGCAGAGAGACAGCGAGTACAGCCCTGACTGCTGTCTGCAGAAGAGGGGCAGGGAATACATGAGGGCAGAGACCCAAGCATGGGGCTGCTGCTTCTCTCCTGCACCTCTCTTCATGATAGGTGTGCCTGGCAGCTTCAGTGGTTTGGGACACTGGTGTGATTTCAATAGACCCCTGGATGTGTATTGAAAGAGGAAAGGCTGTTCTCGCCCAGCAGACCCCAGTAGCACTTGGGGAACCCTGTGGTCTCACTCTGCACCATCCAAGGCAGATGGACAAGCCTGGTCCTGATGTTTGCATGTCATCTGAGTGACTCCTCTTGTGGTAGCCTCACCACCAGCTGGTGACTGGTGCTGCACTCCTCACATGCACAGGGATATCCAGGAGCCTCTAACACATGACAGCTCCAGGCAGGTTGGATGGGCATTCATGCACTCATTTTTTTTTTGGATGGCCAAGAGCCCACAGGTCCCAAGCAGCAAGTGGAACCTGGCTCAGAACTGAAATTAAAGTATCATCCTTGTGCCAGCTGGTGTTACTCTTATGACCTCAGATGATCCCATACAGTCACACTTTATTTTTAAAAAGAGAAAAAATGAAAAGTCAAGAGGATTAACTATCACATATGGCACAGAGATTGTCTGGAAAGACCAGCTTAGCTTCCTTTTGAGTGCTTAAGCTGATATTAACAAATACATGCCCTAAACAACATTGGAAACCTTAAATGGAACCCAGTGTGATTGCATCAATTTAAAGAATCTGATTAGAAATAAATATTCTTGGGTGAGCTCAGCTGGGATCACTCCTGGCTGTTCACCATCCACAGCCCCCAGGAGGACAACAGGAGGGACCACAGGACCCAGCACCCCAGGTTCTCCCAAAACAGCCAAACCAAGATCTGGGGAGGGCTTCTATTTATTTGACAAAAGGCAGGGACTTTG